GGGGGATGGACTTGCCAGATAGCATGCTCTTTTATCTCCTAGATTCTTTTCTAAACTCAAGATTAAACATTACTGGGAAACAGAGGTGATCCAGGTTGACCACCTCAGCATTTTAAATGAGTGAAATGGAATCTGTAAAATGCAAACACAACCCCCTCAGGAGTCTTTCTCCAGAGTGAGGAAGGGTGGAGGGTGTGAGCCTGCAGTTGCCCGAGGCAGTGAGTGTGGGGGGAAAGGAGCAAAGAACCAGACCTTTGCTCAGGTTGGCTCAAGCTTCAGTGAGCTGTGATGCTGTTAACAAATCATTTAACCTTTCTGAGATTCATAGGAACAAGGGAACAATGATCCGACAGGGTTATTATGAGTCTTTAAGTGTCTCAAACTTCCTGACCCTGTTTTCTCTGGTCTTTAACATGAAAGATAATATTTACGTTATTGGCTATTATTTGTGCTGACAGGGGAGCACATTGAACTTAACAGTTGATTCTCTCTTAAGTCTAGGTCTCAAAAATGGAGCTACCAAAAAAATTAATAAATTGTTTTTATTCCTCAGCTTTATCTTCTCCAATTCTCGTTTATTTTTACTAATTTACAATACTTGTACCCAGAGGCTTAGTTAGAATTAGGATCAGGACAAATGAGAGAAGAAAGGTGAAAACCCAGTTGTAGATTCTTGTTTCTGCTCTTGTTAGGCTCTGCTGATTGCTCTGGAGTAACCCCAGCAAGCCTTTGGTGGCAATTTCTCAATGTTGTTTACGCTTCTTTTTCCTTCTCAGTGGTCTTCCCCAACCCCACCTCAACAAAGCCTGTCTGTTCCACAAGATCTAGTTCATGTCTCCTGTGCTCCCTGAAGCCTTTCCTGACTCACATTTCTTGCTCTCCAACACCCCCCAACTCCTATAGGATGCAGCCTCCCTTGGTCCTCACTTTGTAACCTGCAAGCACCCTCACCTGTTTTAAAGAACCTCTATGTGCATGTCTGTGTGAGTTGGTCAGCTGTTGTAGATAATCAACTCATTGAAAACAGAGACACAAGTCCTGGTCAATAGAGCCCAATGAATAGCAGCCATTGTAGAAAAAATTAATCATTTAAAAAGCAAAAGAAGAAAACAAAAATTATCCATAATGCCCAAGGCCAGAAACGTTTCCTATCAAATATAAGAAACTCTAATTTTGCTTTCGGCATTCAGGTAACTGAATAAATCTTTGATTATTTGTTTAGTCTAGATACTGTCTTCACTCCTTACTTTGCTCCATGAATTTGAATTAGGCCACAGAAAGCTTTGATGGCTGAAATATGCTTTAAGTTACAAATAAACATGCAGAACTCTGCCAGGAGCTGTCTGTGACCTGTTGTTTAAATCCCTCCTCTAAGTTCCAGAGTAGATACAATCAGTGTTAATGAAAAAGTAGGTCTTTAGTATTTTTACCTTAACCTAAAGTTTTTAATTATTTTTATCATGAGGTATTCTAATTATATAACAGGTTTTTGTTTGTAATGATCTCAGCAGAAAATCAGAGCTCTGGCTTTCAGAGGCTTGACTACTTTATACAGCTCCTAAGCATTAGCATTAAATCCACAAGACACATAAACAGCTTGTACAAGTCAGGTGAATGCTAATTCAGAACACTACTATTACATCAGTGATGTTCCAAGGTTAAATTCCAGAAGCTTGTGGCTGCAGAATCGATGAGTACTGCTAGTTTTAATTAACCTGCATCTACTTGAATTCCATTAATCTTGGATTTCAAAACACTGGGGAAGTAGAGCAGCCAATGGTTTGGGATGTGAAGAAAACCTCATGGCTCTCATAAAGTATTCCTTACTTGCGACATTTTGCACAGCATCAATGCATTAATTTAATTCTCTGTTATTTCCTATTTTTTACCCTTTGAGGTAAGGGTATAAAAGAGAGACTTTAGTAATATTCCATGTCTTCAAACTCTCTTTTTCTTTTCCATTAAAACTCGCTCTGCACAAGGTTTTTTGCTGATTATAAGGAATAGCATCAATTTATTAATGACTTTTCAGGGAAAGCAAATGAACCAATACATTCAATTGCTACATCAACTAGAAAGTGCATCCCTATATCAGAAATATTAACATGGAGGGGAAAGAAGGAAAAACGTTCTTTTTCAACCTGAAGAAACCCCAATATTTCCTACACCCTCTTGCAGTTGCCTCAAATGCCACTGTCAATATTACACTTTATTCCTTTCGTGTAAGGTTGTTAGAATGTAAACACCATCATGTGCCCCACGCACGCACTCACACACACACACATGCTCCCCCAACAAGTAGCTTAGATTTGTCATTGTCATCATGAGTAGTTTCCGCAGTGTAAAATAGTCCTACACCTCGCATAGAGCAAGTAAATAATAACAGAAAAGGGGAGAGAGCGTGATGACACTGAATGCTCTCAGTACGAGGAACGGGTAAAGGGCTGGAGAGAGAAACCCTCCAAAGAAAAGCTACAGTTGTTGCAGTGTCGCTAATGCCACTTGTGTACGCCTGTTACTCTGGCCTGGGCCAGAGGGGAGGGAAGTGTCCGCGGGCGCCTTGGCCAGTGTGAGAGTGGACTGTCACACGGTGAGCGGGGACAGAGTAGCAGGATCGATGGCTGTTATGTGGTTTGGTTTTGATTTTAAACAAGGAAGCACAGGATCAGAACTGTGCCTAGAAAGGTTAATCTACGCTCCTACTTGCACATGATGAACTGCTTCGATCCAGTGGACATCACCAAGGATGGCTCAGGGAACCCCCACGCTGTGAGCGAGCTGCTTACGCCTGGGCAAGCTGTCCCCCCACAGTCCTCTCGCCGAGCAGGCCTGCTTAGCGGGAAGCATTGCTGTTTGTCAAACGGCAAAGGGACTGTAGCCATTTCTGCCTTCCTAGGTATATTGACTGATTCCTATTTTGAAGACGATAATTTGGTATAATGCTTACTTGTGCTTATGAAGACTGATGAGAAATGGACCGTATCCAAGAATTTTATCATGAAAGCAAAAAACTGCAAATCTAGGGTTTCTGCTCCTTCTTTGAGTTGCAAGGGGCACGACCCATAGTAGAGGTCTCTTGACTGGCTGGTGCTTTTACGAATATAGAAAGGGTCAGGGGTATAGACTAGGTCGAGAACAAAGTGGCAAAGAAAACAGAACTCTGCTTGCCAGTTAACAGGCTTTTTTTTTTTTGGAATGATGTTGGAAACTTGACATAAGAGTGAAGACAAGGAAATGGTACAAGAATCTGGCTGGTGGCAGAAACATTTCTCAAAACCAGTGAAAATGCCCCAGTGGAAGAGAGAACCAAAGGGACTAGAATAATTAATATTAAATGTTAACTTTTTTCCAGCTTTATTGAGATATTAATGACATACTACATTGTGTAAGTTTAAGGTGCACACATGATGATTTCATATATGTAGACATTACAAAATGATCACCACAACAGGGTTAGTGAACACTTCCATCACTTTACAGAATTCCTTTGGGAGAGCAGGAGGTAAGAATATTTAAGGTCTGCACTTAGCAACTTGCAAGTAGTATTTAATGCAGAATTCTTAACTATAGCCATCAGGCTGTACATTAGATCCCCAGACAAATGTTAAATTTTTGTCATGTGCTGGACTGTAATTCTCTTCTTTACCCAAACCCTAGGGAAAACCTGCTACATTATTGGGGATGGCATTGGTATTTCATTATTAAATTAAAGGGAAAGAAAGTGTTTATCTTTGTGTTTAAAATGGCAGATGATGAAGGAAAACTGTTGGAGGAAGTAAGACACACAGGAAAGGGTGAGAGCCGAGAAGAAACAAAAGTTGGAGGAAGAATCTTTATGATTCTTGAGAATCTTTATGATCTTTGAAGTGGGGAAGGAGACCACTGGTATCTTATTCTACCAACAGTTTTCCTTCATCATCTGCCATTTTAAACACAAAGATAAACACTTTCTTTCCCTTTAATTTAATAATGAAATACCAATGCCATCCCCAATAATGTAGCAGGTTTTCCCTAGGGTTTGGGTAAAGAAGAGAATTACAGTCCAGCACATGACAAAAATTTAACATTTGTCTGGGGATCTAATGTACAGCCTGATGGCTATAGTTAAGAATTCTGCATTAAATACTACTTGCAAGTTGCTAAGTGCAGACCTTAAATATTCTTACCTCCTGCTCTCCCAAAGGAATTCTGTAAAGTGATGGAAGTGTTCACTAACCCTGTTGTGGTGATCATTTTGTAATGTCTACATATATGAAATCATCATGTGTGCACCTTAAACTTACACAATGTAGTATGTCATTAATATCTCAATAAAGCTGGAAAAAAGTTAACATTTAATATTAATTATTCTAGTCCCTTTGGTTCTCTCTTCCACTGGGGCATTT